GATTTGTGGTTGGAGGCCTCTGTAAATTCTAAATGATTTTCTTAATGCTTACAAAGACTTAGGCCAGGTCCAAAGCAAAGCAGTAAATGACTATGAACAAGGCTAATGATGGCTCTGGACTTGCAACATTCCGACTTCACAACCATCAGAGTTCTAATCAGTTAACCAGCCTTGGGGAAGGTTCAGTTGGAGGTGGAACTTTTTTTTTTGCAGGGACTTCTGTTCATACACCTTAGTGTTTGCGTCTGTGTATGCATGTGTGTGTGGTGTTGTTATTGTTGTTGTTTGTGTTCATTCATATGAATTTTTGGCATTTATACCACTGCACTCATGTGAAGGTCATAGTACAACCTTGATATTTGATTCTTCCATCGCACAACCTTGGCCCTTGGCACTTTGATAAAAAAAAAAAAAAAAAAAAAAAAAACAGAGCCCAGCCCCTTCTGCAAGTACCAGGGTTGCTCCCCACAAATGTCTGGAGATTCTTCTCATATTGTTGCTATCTCCCTGTGGAGGTGCTGGGAGAGCAGACTTGCATATCAAAGAGGGTTCTGAGGACTCCAACTTGAGTTTCTTCACCCACTAAATCTCCCCAGCTCCATATCCTCCTTTTAAAGAATAGTAATTAGTCACGTCTACCCATGTTGTTAAAGGCAAAGATAAGCTGCATTTAAGACAGGTAGACACATTATGAGATTTGAATCTTCAATAATCTTAGAACTGAACAGGAAATATAAAAACAAATGCAAAATTTAGACACTCCAGTGGCCCTTAGCTTTCAGATACTTCCACATGAGACAGTTTATATTTTTCTGTTTTATTGACATCCCTTTTCATCTCTGATCTCTAACCAAGATCTGTGTGCCTCTAGAAAGTCACATTGCTAAAGGATCATGCTTGCTGCTTTGAATCCAAAATAGCACAGTCCAGATCCTATGGGGTTCATCCTAGCAAGTGATAAATAAAGTTGGCGATAGCTCCATTACTGGTACAATAGCCAATCGGGACAATCTAGAATTGTTCTTACCAGCAACATCTGTACTTTCAGAAAATAACAAAAGGTCAAAACTTGAAAAAGGATTTGTATTCTTAAGTCTCTAAGCAAGAAGTAGTATCTAGGTTGGCGTTAGTATAATTAATAATGTCATTTAACTGTGACTATTTTCTTTTGTAGTATCAGTTGGAGCATCATGTGGTGTGAACAGTCATTATCAAAAAAGCATCAACCGATGGACACTAAAATAAGGTATGACTCGTAAATTAGAAACTTTTCTAGCTTTAAAAATAGCATTAGAGTAAATCAGTTTGACCAAGAGTGATTAATAGTATGATATAAGGAAGTATAAACACTGAATTATTTAAAATAATTGTAATGCATACTTCCTTAGGTATAAAATCTCATTTGGATCAAATCTGCTACCTTCCTCCAATGGCCACCTTTAGCTACTCTGAACGAAATGATCTGGAAGTCTTGTTCTACAATAGAATATTCTAGAAGATCAATCGTCTTATAAAAGGAACCCATCATCTTCAACACTAATATCTCTACACCATTTCAATATATGCAATGAGACACACTTGATTAAGCCCAAGCTTTTTGTGTTAGGCTGGAAATAATCAAAATACCCATCCCTTTTCATGTCTGTCTTCATTCCATGTAGTTCCTTTCTAAACCCCACAATTGGGCAGCAACCAACAATTTCAAAGAGCAAAAACATGGTATTCAAGTGTGAATGTAGTTTTACCTCCAGATAATGGCTCCACACACCTACCCACTCCATTCAGGATTTCCAGTGGCTATTGAGCTACAGTATTGAAAACAGCTTTGTATTGACATAAAAACAGAGAAGTCGGCCAATGGAATCGAATAGAAGACCCTGACTTTAACCCACAAACCTATGAACACCTGATTTTCGATAAAGGAGCTAAAAGTATACAATGGAAAAAAAGAGAACATCTTCAACAAATTGTGCTGGCAAAACTGGATGTCATTCTGTAGAAGAATGAAAATAGACCCATATCTATCACCATGCACAAAACTCAAGTCCAAATGGATTAAAGACCTCAATATCAATCTGAACACACTGAACCTGATAGAAGAGAAAGTGGGAAGTATTCTACAACACATGGGCACAGGAGACCACTTCCTACGTATAACCCCAGCAGCACAGACATTAAGGGCATCACTGAATAAATGGGATCTCCTGAGACTGAGAAGCTTCTGTAAAGCAAAGGACACTGTCACTAAAACAAAAAGGCAACCCACTGACTGGGAGAAGATCTTCACCAGCCCCACAACTGACAAAGGTCTGATCTCCAAAATATATAAAGAACTCAAGAAACTAGACTGTAAAAGGCTAATCAACCCAATTATAAAATGGGGCACTGAGCTGAACAGAGAATTCTCAACAGAAGAAGTTCAAATGGCCAAAAGACACTTAAGACACCACATCTTCTATTGACTGCGTATTAGTGTTCACTGGATTTTGTTTTCTTTCTCCTGAGCATATTTCTCATGTATGTCTCATGGATTTTGTTTTCTTTCTCCTGAGCATATTTCTCATGTATGTCTCATCAGATGTCTGTGCTCTCTTCATCTGAGAGTCAAAGCACCAAGATACCATCCTCCTTAATAAGTCATGGGGGAAGACGCGGAAAAGCAAGCTTAAAATGTGCAAACTCTGAGCAAGGATTCCTCCCCATCTGTCTTAGGAATTTCAATGATATTTAGACTTCTCCAAAGACCCTTAGAGTCAGCCTGTGAAGACTCCAACACACCACTGGAAGCCATTTCTATGTGACACCTGCCTCTCCTCTCGTTGTTCCTTTCTTGACCCCAACAGAGGGGAGCAAATCAGGGCTTGAAAAAAAAAGTACAAAAGTTGTCTCCACCAAACTTTCTGGCTGCCACACAACCATTTGTTTTCCATTATCACCAAGATCCCTTCAAATAACATCTTGAGACTTTTTCCTTCTGATCACCCTCCTGTCCTGTAGTATTTTAATATTGCAGATATGCTAAATCATCTCTTCATAGATAATGGGCCTTTGGAAGAACATACACTACTGTAATACCTAAGTTTTCAACTTTCAACACTTACTATTCCATCTCATCTCCCAGAAACTAACAACCCATTATGCAGTATATTAAGAATGTTAGTATTTTCTTCATTAAGTATGTCTGGACTTTTCTCACTTTCCAGTCCTTTTTAAAAGTAAGGTTGTTAAAGAGAAAAATACTGAGCAATCTTGTGTGTGTGTGTGTGTGTGTGTGTGTGTGTGTGTGTGGTGTTGGAGTAACTGTGAAATAGCTTTAGCTAAACTATAAAGGAATCTAGAGAAATCATTCACATTTTGAGATGTTCCCATGTAGACAAGAGTTTTCATGTATATAAAGTTCTAATAATGAAAATTAACATGAGAGTATGTTCTTCAACATAAGAAGTGGGTAGAAAAAAATCCCCTGAGCTGTCTGAATAGATTTGGGTCAGAATCTTGGGCTAATAAGCAGTGGTTGCATGCTTTTCATTTTCTGTCCCTGACTTCTTGAAACTGATACTTTGGAGGATTACAAAATTATGACTATGAAATCATGCATCCACATGATGCTTAACTCTAAGAAGACCATAAGGTGAATAAAGAAGTATTAGCGAAATTGAAAACTCAAAGAAGATCTATCCATCCTGGTGATACCACCTAGCAGTATGAATTCTTGAACTGCACTGAGACTCAGGCTTCTTTGCTTTACATTTGAAAGCAAAATGTAAGTTGAAGGTCATCAAAATAAATGATTAAAATAGTTTACATAAAACACCACTATCCAGCAGGGAAATTTGAGTTCTGGGGCCATATACCTTAACACTTCAGATAACCTAAAGACACTGCCACAAAGTCTACCTGTCACCAAAAACTATAGAAATGTATTATGTATTTTCCCCTCAAATTCACAGAGTCTTTCAAGGAAGTTTGAATTTAGAACATATCAAGTAAGACATTCATAAGTGATGAAAGTGTCTATTATGAATTTACCAAGATTGTCATGTTGCCAGCTCAAACACTGAAGCCACTAAGAACATCTTGCTGATGTTTTTGGTGTTTGGAGGCAGGGTGGTGATATGGAAGAAAGTGGTGGTTGTGGGAACTTCAAGCAAGTAAAAGCAAATGAGATTCATGTAGGAAAACAAAAGCAATAAAGCCTTGGGCCCTTCCACCCACGTGCCAGTGGGACCAAAAGCTTCAGCTGAGGACCTAAGTAAGTCCCAGCTTCAACAGCTCAACTTGGAGTCTCAGAGACCTAGTGATCCATGTGTCTTCCAGAGGCAGGAAAACAAGAATGTCTGCTCAGAACCTTGCTTAGGACAGCCATTTCTGGAGCTTGCAAAGCCTCAGCACGACAGAAACCAACAATAGAAGCCAGGTCCCCTGCGGTACAAGGAAATTCCAGCAGCTATGCCTCCCAGACTCCAGTTTCCCAGCTTCTCTGAACTCCAAGGGAAAGTCACTTGAGGAACAGAAGGGGCAACACTGACTTCTCTTAAAAGTAAAAGACAAATAAATTGCCGGTTTGCTGCAGAAATAAGCACAACGCTGAAACGTGTCGTTTCTACTCTCATCCCTAAAATAAATAAAAAAAAATTATGTCATCCGGTAAAGGCCACTGGACTCCACCAATGCAGTCTTTACTACTGTCAGATTAACCTGGCCAAAAGTGGGCACCACATGCAGCATTTCAAGACTGAAGGTGGCACCCACATCCTGGTATCAACTATTCCAGGACACACACCTACCCATGTGACTTCCAAGGTACAGGTCTGGAAGGAGGGTCTACATTAGCTGGGGGCGAAGCAGCAGTCACCCCCCCCCCCCAAACAATGCATTCTGTCTGAGTTCATTTGAAATTTTCAAAAACGAAGGGTCTGGAGGTGGGTAGAATGGACCAAAGAACCCGAACAATAGCAAATATGACCTTGTAAATAAAGAAGGCAAAGTGAGTCTCTTACCGTCTCTCCTCCGGTTGGCATTGCGCAAAGTTTTGATGGATGCACTCTGCGGAGTCGCAAAAGTGTCCCGATAGCTGCAAAAGTTCGCGCACACAAGAATGGAGATGAAAATGAGTCGGTGCATTTGGGATCAGCGACCTAGGGACAGCGTCTCTCCAGAAATGAATATATAAATAAATAAAGCCCACCGGGTTGGGCCGGTGGACCTCTGCTGCGCCGCTCCGCGCCTTCGCTGCCTGCTCTGCCCTGCGCTGCCGTGCCCTCCAGCTACTTGCCCCGCTCTTTCCAAACTTCCTGCATGCTGAACTTTCCAAGAGCGTGTGGGTGCCGCACTTCCTTGTGGCGCTGGCTAGATCAATGGGGACCGGACAAACAACAGGTTGACGTGGGTTCGCCCCCCTCCGGTGGCCGGTCGCTGCAGCACAGGCTGCAGGGGGCGGGAGGCTCTGCTTCTGGCTCTCCTAGGGCGCGGATGCTGTGGAATTGCTCTGCAGTGGAGCTGAGAGCAGGGATACCAGTCTTGGCTGGAAGTACCGAGCAATTCTGCCACTGAGCATGCCCAGTTTGAAGGTCGGCCAGACCCTTCCCATCTCCCGGGTTTTTTTTTTTGTTTGTTTGTTTTTTGTTTTTTGTTTTGGTTTGGTTTGGTTTTGTTTTTGGAGGTCAGGAGTAGTTTGGGGTAGATAGAACTTATCTAGAGGTGAGTGCTAAGACCTCCTGCCAGACAGCTAAGGTGCTGGGCCTAAGTGATGATGGAGGCTGTGGTGTAGGGCTGGAATGGAAGGGTTTATTGTACTAGAACTCAAATCAGTCTACTGAGTGGAGACTTCTCAATGGGAAATACCATCACAAAGAAGCCCATGCTGAGCTTGCCTTGAGCCCCAGTCAGTAAGACCTGAGTTGATTCACAGGGGATTTCAAGTAATAAACAAGGCCAGACAGCTTTGCTAGGCATGTGGATGTATTTGTCATCTGTCCTACGGTAAGTGCCGTAACCAACACCATCCTGTTAAGTTAAATAGTAAGATTCAGGGCAAGAAGCAGGTGTTTGCAGACCCTGAGGCAGAAGGGACTAGCAGCAACTAGTCAATTAGGGCTACATGGTGGGACTTTGTCTCAAACAACAGAAAATGAATGAATGCATGAATAAGTTAGTCAAGTGCATGCCTGTGATCTCAGTGCATGGGCAAAAGGATCAGGAGTTAAAGGCCATCCTAAACTGTACAGTGAACTCCATTTCAAGACCAGCCTGGGCTAAATGGAGACCTTACCTAACATAAAACAAAACAAAAACCTGAGAATATCACTTGCTTTCTGTTTCAAATATGTACATACAATACATGAAATGAAGGGGAGGTATTTGGTCAAAAACCAGCAGGACCAAGGGAAGCAAGAAAGTACCAGATCCCAAACCTCTTTTTTTATTACACACATCATGCAAGTAGCAGTTCTTAGTTTATGTGACTGTGTCGAGGATTAGATGAAATAATTTTAGACTGTGATCGCAATTTGTAGCTGAATCTAAATCGAAACAGGCATATTTCCTCAACTGCTCACCAGTGACATCTATGAATCAGAAGTCCCCAGCTCTTTGAGACCTTCCAGTCCTGAAAGTCTAGGATATAGGACGGGCATGCTGTTCTATTACTCTACCCGCTGACACTAAGTGGATGACGATGTGACTCACTCTATACCGGCACTATTTAACTGAGTAAAATGAAACACATTAGCTAAGAAGGTTCGCTGTCGAGTACGTTGAAGACACTCTTGCTTGATGAATATCATCGTTGTAGGGCCACATGCATGGCAACGTACACATTATTTCTGTGGGCTACAGTCAAAAAGCTTGAAAATCATGAGGGGGAAAAATCTGATTTTGTTGTTTCAAAATATAATCTGTTCCTTAGAGAAACGTAAAAGGGAGGTTTGCAGGAGGAGGCGTAGTCAGCAGAGTGCAGAGAGACCTGGGTTCAGGCCCCAGTAAAAGCTGAGAACTGTGGTTTACTTTTTGAAGCCCCAGTGCTGTGGAAGGCAGAGACAGGCAGGTCCCAGGCTTTTAACTGGTTATCCCATCTAGGCAACCTCATGATTCAACCAGAGACACTGTCTCAAAACCTAAGGTGGGGAGCAACAGGGAAACCCAGTGTCAACTTATGAACTTGCATGCCCGTGCATACTCACATATGCACCGCACACACAGATATTTTAAAAAGCATAGATTTGCATTTCCTCATTTATTTATTTGTCAAATACTAGGTTTTCTTAGTTGCATTCTTTATTCTAAATATCTTAAAAATGAGATAGCAATCATTTGAGACACAATTGAGGTGTACAGTGTAGTAGACCAGAGTGGCCATAGCAAATAGATATATACCTGCACTGATAAGAGAAGAGGGACCAGAGACACGTAAGCAAGTGTAGGTAGTTTTCCAACCCATTTTCTAGACATAACTAGAAATGCTGATTTGATTTCATTCTTAGGTTCAACCATTGGGGAGGAGAAAATTTGCAGTGGATTATGTAATTATTATAGGTACCAAACTGGTCAAAATATATGTCTCATTATAAAACATTACATTTAAAGTATTTATTTTAAGTAGTTTTATCCAAGATACTGAACCTTTTAAGTCACAGTTAATAAATGGATATGGCTGAGGGTGTTCACAAGCATCAACTCTCAACATATCTTGATAGCAATAAATAGCTAAATGCTAGAATAAGCCACGAAATCAGGCACCTGAGTCAAACTACTTTGAACCTTGTTTCAGCTATACTTAACAGCTAACTTTTACAAAATTAGGTTAATTATGGCCACTAAGGCATTATTTTGCACAGCATAAATTTTAAAGTACTCTGGGTGTACATAAAATTCTGACACAAAGATAAGAGGGAAGATTATTTCAATTTCTTCTTTTATATGTGTCTCAAAGTAACTAAAAAAAAAACCCACTGAATTAGTCACTGCTTTTAAATGCCTGTGAACCAGTAAAAAGAATGAGCCAACACAATGAAATCATTTATAAATATTATTATTATGATTAACTACTTAAATCAGCTAATCTATATTTAGCCACTGCCCAGTGAAATTCATATAGCTAAAACGTCCATGTATTGTTAAGAAAATGAAAGAAATAATAAGCTCTTACAATAGGTCTAGCCATAATGGTGTTTATCCCTAACAAATATTGTATTAAGAAGGGACTGTAATATGGTGGTTATGACGTGACCCTATTTTTATCCTGTGCCCTTTTCCTTTATAATAGAAACCAAGAATGCTGTTTTCTGCTTTATTTTTAAACATTCTTGGCTTCTTCTGCTGCTTGTAAAAGTCTCGGTGGAAAAGGAATGAAATGTGGCCTGGCCTTTTGAAAGACTTCTCACCTCTACAAGTGGGTCACCCCGTTCTACTTTTATTAAACTGAACTTCTGCCAATCTTTAAATTGTGACTCCTGCAGGACCATTCTCCTGACAATTGTTGCTGTTTTTAGGATGAGCACTTTGCTTGAAGAGGACCTCCTCTGCTGTCTACCAATCGCTCTCAGAAAAAACTAAGGATCCAAGACATCGCCTCCTGGATTCTACTCTGTTCTTTCCATGACACCTCCCTGAAGACTGCTTCCAGAGTGCTGAACATCTTGTTTCCTTTTTTAAAACATGCCCTCACAAATAGATTTCAGTCTGTGATACATGTGCAATCTCATTCAAACCACATATATTTGAATCATTTCCGTCAAAAAGTCTGGTTGCATTCTGCCCTAGCTTCATTTCTGTTCGTATGATAAAATATTCAGACCAACAACAACAATAAAGGGTTTATTTTACCTCACAATGCCACACCACAATCATCAGGTCAGGGAAGCCAAGCCAGGCCATCAAGCAGCTTGTCATGGCTTGTGACAGTCAAGAGCTGGGGGAGTGGGATGTGGTGGGTGTTAGTGCCCCAGGCTGCCTGGCTGCTTGCTGGGTTGTTTCCTAAGCTGGTTTTACTGTTGTGTGGTCCATAACCTCCTGGACAGGGAGTGGTGCCACTCACGATGGGCTGGGAGACCAAGAATATGCCCAAGGCCATGCCCAGAGCTCAGTCTAACATGTGCAATCCCTCCATGGTGACTTTCTTTCATCTGATTCTAAATTGTGTCAAGCTGACAGTTAAAACTAACCAGCACACATACTAACATGAATAAAAGATTTCTGCACATTATAATCAACAACATTTTGAAATTTTAATAATTAATATAAATTGTCAGCCTAAATGTGGATTTTTACAACCAGTCTTGACAGTTACTTTTACTTTCAAAATTTGTCTCCTTTTAAAGAAATCGATTATTCAAATGTATAGAAAATATCAATATTTGCCCAAAGAAATATTAAATTTTATTTTATGATCAGGAAATAGCCTACCACTTTTGACTCATTTCATTATTTTCTCTGAAAAATAAAGCATTAACTGACCTTTGAGTTAAATTTGTCCATATTTTAACTGACAATTCTGCTGTATGAAGAGTCATTCCTTTATTACCATTATTATTAAAAATAAAATAAATTGAATAAAATACTTTTACCACCTATTCTGAAAAATGTTATGTTCCCCAAGCAATCTCTTATCTGGTCTTCTGTAAACACGTGCAGATACTTAGTACACATTCAGACTCTTGTGCACCAACACAAACATAAGATATAAATATTTTTTTTTAATTTACAAAGAACTTGACAGTGATGCAGAATTTCTAACTTATGAGCTCAATTGTAGACCTATTTATTCTGACATCGCAGGGCTGTCAGAAACCAGGTGTCCCATTCATTCTACACAGGACTATTGACAGTGTAGACACAAGTGTCCATTTTGTCTAGACTCTTGTAAACAGACATCACACACATTTCAGAAGGTCTACAGTGGATACATTTTGTCTAGACTCTTGTAAACAAACATCATACACATTTCAGAAGGTCTAAAGTGGATATATTTTGTCTAGACTCTTGTAAACAAACATCACACACATTTCAGAAGGTCTACAGTGGATACATTTTGTCTAGACTCTTGTAAACAAACATTACACACATTTCAGAAGGTCTACAGTGGATACATTTTGTCTAGACTCTTGTAAACAAACATCACACACATTTCAGAAGGTCTACAGTGGATATATTTTGTCTAGACTCTTGTAAACAAACATCATACACATTTCAGAAGGTCTACAGTGGATACATTTTGTCTAGACTCTTGTAAACAAACATCACACACATTTCAGAAGGTCTACAGTGGATACATTTTGTCTAGACTCTTGTAAACAAACATCATACACATTTCAGAAGGTCTAAAGTGGATCCATTTTGAGCAGTGAGCTCCAGATGACACCATTTGGACCTAGTGCATTTCCACTGCTACCTTATGTCTTGATTGACAGGTCAGTGAGCCTAGCCTTGATC